CAAGGCTCACAGAACACCAAAGAATCCACACTGGGGAGAAACCCTTTAGATGCTTGGAGTGTGGGAAGGGCTTCATATGGAAGGCACACCTCACAGAACACCAAAGAATCCACACTGGGGAAAAACCGTTTAAATGCTTGGATTGTGGGAAGGGCTTCGCTCGGAAGACACACCTCACAGAACATCAAAGAATCCACACTGGGGAAACCCCATTTCAATGCCTGGAGTGTGGAAGAAGTTTCAAACAGAAGAGTAGCTTACGGCGTCATCAAGTGAAACACACGGGGGAGAGAACCCTTTAAATGCCCGGAGTGCGGAAAGAGGTTTTGCCAATAGAAACACCTCCCTACTTTTCCCTCATCCAAACCATGAGGAGACTGAACTTCTGCAAGAGATGTCTTTAAAATAGTATTTCTTTGTTGTTGTTTTTCGGGAATGTCTGGAATTTTTAAAAAAGAGTTCCTGAAAATAAGAGAAGACAAAAAGAGGTTTCAGGCTGGACAAGACTCATGGCCAGGAATTTGAAGTATGTGTTCGGACACCACTTTTTCTCTTCACAAAGGAGACCAAAGCAACCGTCGTCTTTGCTCTTCTTCGATGAGCATGGCAAGATGTCTGCTGTGGGTTAGACGGATAGCTAGGCCCTTTTCACTGTTCTTTGGGTAAAGTCTTCTATAATTTAAGCTTGACTCTGTTCCTGAATTGCTTAAGCTCAGTCGCTCTATTGCTGGCAACAGGAGCTTCTCATTTGCTGAACTGCTGCTACGGCTGTTGCTGCTGATTTACCTTATTAAATGCTTTCTCTCCAGCACTCTAAAGTGGGTGAAATCTATATCTCAAGCAACTTACATATTTAGGTTTCAATAAAAACATTTTCAGTTAGGTTTTTTTGGTGGAAGAATATGATGCAGAAATAACTAATCTAGTTTGAATGAGATATAATGCAAATATGTTTGAATGGTTTTAATTGTGAAGCTTTTAATACTGTTTCCACTTAATTCTGTTTCAGGATTTGTATGTGTGTGTGTGTGTGTGTGTGTGTATATATATATATAAATGGTGTGCTAACACTTTTATGTTAAGCTGCTTTTGAGTCCCCTTCAGGGAGATAAAGCAGGGTATCAAAAATTTTAATAATAATAATAATAATAATAATAAAGTGCTGAAAGACCTTGGCCTGCACTTAAACACACTCAGCAGAGGAAAATTACAAATAATTGACAAAACCGTAGTTGAACTCATCCTATACTTTTCGACAGTCTTTCCTAATATGACCATTTCTATCTGCCCTTCTCTTCCAAATTTGACATCTTCAGTCTTTGCTACCTAAGGTTCTTCAAAAGCAACCAGTCTGCTTAGACTACAGATGTGGTTCTACACGGGGGCCTCCCAAATGTCACTGTGTTTCCTGTGTGTAACTTTATGTAATTAACCCTGAAAACTTATATTTTCAAAGAAAGGCCACCAAAATGGTCAATTCTATCAGCCAAACCTGATTAGATTTGCTTGTAGTTCCTTTTTGCAGCTGTGAGATTTGGGGGCTAAAACCTAGGGACCCAGCAAGCATAGATTACTGCAACACGTTCTACGTAGGGTTGCTTTTGCAGACTGTTTCGAACCTTTAAGTGGTCCAACGGGCAGCAGCCAGATTGCTCACCATAGCGGCGTACAGGGAGCATACAACTCCTCTTTAGCCTATAAAGCCCTAGATGTTCTCGGCCCATATTGCCTGTCCTAACACATCTCCCTCTATGAACCCTCACCGAGATTAAGATCATCTGAGGAGGCCCTGCTCTCAGTTCCACCTCCCTTGCAAGTGAGATTGGTGGGGACGAGAGACATCCTTCTCAGTGGCGGCTCCTCAGCTGTGGAACTTCCTCCCCAACAAAATCAGATCAGTGCCCTTCCTCCTGGCCTTCAGAAGAAAAGTAAAAATTTGGCTATGGGACCAAGCCTTTGGGCAGAAAGGAGTACAATGAATGATCAGGGATTATGAGCAATAGATAGCTGAGATATTTAGAACGGCCTGGACTACGATTGTTGGATTGTGTGATTTTAATGTTCATATTGATATGTTTCTAAGTCCATGTTTGAATGTGAAATGATATTGTGTTTTATGATTTAAATGATAATTGTATATTATTATCGCTATGTTAGGTTTCTGTATGTGAGGCATTAAATTTTGCCATAATTATGTTGGAAACCGCTTTGAGTGCCCTGCTGGCGGGAGAAAAGCAGTATACAAGTGAAGCAAATAAATAAACAAGTATTTCCCTGGTTTCCTTTTCGATTGCTGGAAGATTTGGTGTCCTAACCCTTTGGTTTTCAAAGCAGCAGCTCTAAGCAGGAAGCAAGTGTGATGCACACCTTTTGCCAGCGGCTTTCTCTGAATTCTAGCCTACAGCATCTCAGGTTCATTGGTGTCTCCCATCCAAGCACTAACCAGAGCGACTCCTTCTTAGCTTCCAAGGGTACAAAGTGTCCTAGTGCCTTTAAGGTAGTGTCCCAATTTCTAGACTTCCAGATGATTTGGACTTCAACTCGCAGAAGCCTTATCTTACTTGGCTAAGGATTGCGGATTGTGGGGATTAAATGTTGGGCGAGTGGGCTTATTAACAAAAGACACAACCCCCCCCCCCCATAAATGCACAGCAGAGCATCCCGTCAGCAGCAGCGTGACCAGCACCAGTAGCTCAAATAATAAGAACAACAAAAACACAGAGACCAATGTTATAACTTCCACAGAAGGCTTTTCTTTGTATTATATAGTTGTACAGTGTACAATAACAAGGCTTCCACAAGACAAATAAACAACTACATAAAGAAACAACTTCAAACTGGACATCCCTCACAAGGCTTCTTTCTCACAGAAGTTTTACTTCACATTGACTGAGGAGTTCCTTCACTGAGGCAAACTAACTCTATCAGATATTGGCCTACTTACACTCCTCAGGACAACACTAGCTTTGGCCCGCTGACTTTAACAGGCTTCAGCCTGCTCACTCTCATCAAAACGACACTAGCTTTGGTCCACTGACTTTAACAGGCTTCAGCCTACGTACTCTCCTCAGGACGACATTAGCTTTGGCCCGCTGACTCTAACAGGCTTCGGACTGCTCACTCTCCTCAGGATGACACTAGCTTTGGCCCGCTGACTCTAACAGGCTTTGGCCTACTCACTCTCCTCAGGACGACACTAGCTTTGGCCCGCTGACTCTAACAGGCTTCGGCCTACTCACTCTCCTCAGGATGACACTAGCTTTGGCCCGCTGACTCTAACAAGCTTCAGCCTGCTCACTCTCCTCAAAACGACACTAGCTTTGGCCCGCTGACTCTAACAGGCTTCGGACTGCTCACTCTCCTCAGGATGACACTAGCTTTGGCCCGCTGACTCTAACAGGCTTCGGCCTACTCACTCTCCTCAGGATGACACTAGCTTTGGCCCGCTGACTCTAACAGGCTTCGGCCTACTCACTCTCCTCAGGATGACACTAGCTTTGGCCCGCTGACTCTAACAAGCTTCAGCCTGCTCACTCTCATCAAAACGACACTAGCTTTGGTCCACTGACTTTAACAGGCTTCAGCCTACGTACTCTCCTCAGGACGACATTAGCTTTGGCCCGCTGACTCTAACAGGCTTCGGACTGCTCACTCTCCTCAGGATGACACTAGCTTTGGCCCGCTGACTCTAACAGGCTTCGGCCTACTCACTCTCCTCAGGATGACACTAGCTTTGGCCCACTGACTCTAACAGGCTTCGGCCTACTCACTCTCCTCAGGACGACACTAGCTTTGGCCCACTGACTCTAACAGGCTTCGGCCTACTCACTCTCCTCAGGACACTACTTTGGCCCATTGACTAACAGGCTTCGGCCTACTCACTCTCCTCAGGACGACACTAGCTTTGGCCCACTGACTCTAACAGGCTTCGGCCTACTCACTCTCCTCAGGATGACACTAGCTTTGGCCCACTGACTCTAACAGGCTTCGGCCTACTCACTCTCCTCAGGATGACACTAGCTTTGGCCCACTGACTCTAACAGGCTTCGGCCTACTCACTCTCCTCAGGACGACATTAGCTTTGGCCCACTGACTCTAACAGGCTTCGGACTGCTCACTCTCCTCAGGATGACACTAGCTTTGGCCCGCTGACTCTAACAGGCTTTGGCCTACTCACTCTCCTCAGGACGACACTAGCTTTGGCCTACTCACTAACAGTCTTTGGCCTACTCACTCTCCTCAGGACACTACTTTGGCCCATTGACTAACAGGCTTCGGCCTGCTCACTTTCATCAGAACGACACTAGCTTTGGCTCGCTGACTCTAACAGGCTTTGGCCTGCTCACTACCCTCAGGAGGACACTAGCTTTGGCCCACTGGCTCTAACAAGCTTCAGCCTATTAACTCTTTCGGTGTTTGATTCACACTTTTGTTTTGTTATATTAATTTTTAATATTTCTGGCATTATAGTCCAAACTGCTGCTTAGAGTATTTTGAACCCTCTCCTATTCCTGGATAAATGCCTTGAAAGCAGCCTCTCCCCATGTCTTCCAGAGGGAGGTTTTGCTAGTTGGCTTCCAAAGGGTTAAAGCAAAACATGTGGATTCCTAGAGAGTAAGTGAGTGTCCAATCAGAATCCTCCTGCAGGCCAGGCCCCTCCTCTTCTGGCCATGTGGAACTCTTCCTGGAGGAGGAGGAGGAGTGGCTGGGAGAGCCTTGGGAGAGAGTGCCTTCCTTCCTTCCTTCCTTCCTTCCTTCCTTCCTTCCTTCCTTCCTTCCTTCCTTCCTTCCTTCCTTCCTTCCTTCCTTCCCAGAGGGGGCCATGGCTCTCCTGCTGCCCAGGTTGGAGCCTGGCTGCAAGGAGAGGCCGCAGGAGGGAAGCCAGCCCGGTGGTGCATCTTCAGGCCCAGCAGAGCCAAGCCAGGACCCTCCGCCTGCCTTTCCTGCTGCTGCTGCTGCTGCTGGGAATGGAGGGCAGTGGTGGGGAGGAGGAGGAGGAAGCCTTCTGGTGGGGAAGGAGGAGGGGGGGCTGCTAAGGGGAGAGCCCCCACCACCTTCAGGGGCAGAGCGCCAGAGCTTCAGGCAGTTCACCTACCAGGAGGCCTTGGGGCCCCGAGAGGCCTGCAGCCGCCTCCACTCTCTCTGCCGCCTGTGGCTGAAGCCCCAGCGACACTCCAAGGCGGAGATGCTGGACCTGGTCATCCTGGAGCAGTTCCTGGCCGTCCTTCCTGCCGAGATGGAGCGCTGGGTCAGGGAATGTGGGGCAGAGACCAGCTCCCAGGCCGTGGCCTTAGCTGAAGGATTCCTCCTGAGTCGGGCCCAAGAGGAGAAGGAGACACAGGTGAGAGAGAGAAGCTCGTCCCCATGCTGTCAAAGAGCCAGGAACGCTTGTCATGAAGAGAGCCATATTCCAGATCCCTCCCTCCCCTCTTTCCCTTAATTTCCGATCATTGGTTTACGTGTCTCTTTGGTGTATTTTCAGATGCCGGACTTGTGTACAGAAGTGGCCTCCGCCTGGGAAAGGCCTCCCTCCACCTCCAGCCGGATGCCGGATTGTGCAGGACAAAGGGACCCTCCCAGCTCCATAAGTAAAGACCCAGCGACACTTGGGTGGCTCGACTCCACTCCTTTGGGGTCTTTTTGGCTCAATGAATGTATATATGTATGAAAGGGATCCAGGTCCATTTAGATACACAGATTCTCCTGAACATCAAGAAATAATACAATCAAGCAGCTTAAAAAGCAATGAAGGTTTGGTTTCCTCGTTGGAAGTGTGGTGCCCAGGGGTACGAGCTGCATTGGATGGTGGCTGGCTTTACATGGCAGCACCATCAACTCACTGCACACCATCATTTCTACCCCGCCCTTCTCCCCACAAAGGGGACTCAGGGCGACCTCACATAAGCATCAATGATGCTATTAACATATACAATAAAAAATTCAATTAGCACCGTAAAACTCAATTTAAAACATTATACAATACATTAACAAGAGTTCACAGACGGGGGGCAACTGCTGAGAAGGCCGTGTCTCTCGTCCCTACCAACCGTGTTTGCTAAAGTGGTGGGATCGAGAGCAGGGCCTCTCCTGACGATCTTAAGTTTCGTAATGGTTCATAACAGGAGATATGTTCGGACAGGTAATCTGGGCCAGAACCGTTCAGGGCTTTAAAGGTTAAAACCAGCACTTTGAATTGTGCCCAGAAGCTGATTGGCAGCCAGTGGAGCTGGCAAAACAAAGGAGTGGTACGCTGCCTGTACGCCACTCCGGTTAACAACCTGGCTGCTGACTGTTGGACTAATTGAAGCTTCCAAGAAGTTTTCAAAGGCAGCCCCACATAGAGAGCGTTGCAGTAGTCTATTCAGGATGTAACCAGAGCGTGCGCTACCATGTATATGTATGAAAGAGATCCAGGAGCCTTTACATACACAGGTTCTCCTGAACAAGAGTAAACAGAACAATCAAGCAGCTTAAAAAACTAATGCATTTTTGGCTGCCTCATTAGGAGTGTAATGCCTAGGGATGCGAGCTGCACTGGATGGTGGTTGGCTTTACCTGGCAGCACCGTCAACTCACTGCAAACCAGTCTTCACATTGTTCTTAAGTAGTTGTTTCTGAACATCAGGACTGCTCAACATGCATTCAGTGAGTGTGTTGTGGCTGTTCCTCCTCTCCACTGGTGTTGCCTGCTCCCATTGCCAGTACTGGTTGGCAGCCATAGAAGAACCCTAGATTTGGAAGAGACCTTGTGGGTCATCCAGTCCAACAAGACAACAGGTCCACTATTACAATAGTAGAAAAATTCCAAGCATGTATTTGACAGCTTGTACAAGATAGAATCAGCAAAAATCCTCCAGGAAATAAAGCCCGACTGCTCATTGGAGGGAAGGATACTAGAGACAAGGTTGAAGTACTTTGGCCACATCATGAGGAGACAGCAAAGCCTAGAGAAGACAATTATGCTGGGGAAAGTGTGGAAGGCAAAAGGAAGAGGGGCCGACCAAGGGCAAGATGGATGGATGGCATCCTTGAAATGACTGGACTGACCTTGAAGGAGCTGGGGGTGGTGACGGCCGACAGGGAGCTCTGGCGTGGGCTGGTCCATGAGGTCACGAAGAGTCGGAGACGACTGAACGAATTAACAACAACAATTATAGTCTCTTAAAGAAGTAATAATATCCTTATTAAGAGCTTCAGTTTCTTTATCAAATCCTAGAGTTGGAGGAGCCCACAAGGGCCATCCAGTCCCAATTCCCTGCCAGGCAGGAATACACATTCAAAGCACTCCAAATGGATGGCCATCCAACCTCTGTGTGATAGAGGCTGGATGGCCATCCATTTGGAGTGCTTTGAATGTGTGTGCCAAAGAAAGAGACTCCACCACACTCTCAGGTCACAGCATTCTCCATTCTTGAACAGCTCTTACCATTACGAAGATGGTACTATAGGAAATGGAGACCATGGCTGATAAAACACCCTTGCCTTTTCTATTCTCGCAGGAGGTGAATCAGAACCAACACATACTGGCTTAATTCTTCTTTTTGATGTACGCAGCACACTTTCTGTGACACCAGATCAGGTAGGTGAGAGAATCCCTGATGCGCCAAGAAGGGCTCAGGCTTCCGGCATCCTCTTGGCATTGCCATTTCCCCTCTTTCCACCCAAGATGCGTGTAGCAAAATCCCTGTGTAAAGATGGACATCTAACTTGGCCACCAGAAGCAATGGGTTTTCTGGCTGGGGTCAGCGTGTCCTGCTTACCAATCATGTTTCTCTGTCCAGGTGACCTTCCAAGAGGTGGCCATGTCCTTCAGTGAGGAGGAGTGGGCCCTGCTGAATCCGGACCAAAAGGCCTTGCATCAGGAGGTCATGAAGGAAAATCTGGAGATGGTGTGCTCTTTAGGTAAGGCCCCCTCTTGTGTAAGAAAGTATTAGTCACAACATGATATAGCCGCACAATATCACTTAAGAGTGGGGGGGGGGGGGCATAGGTTCACAGCAGGATACAATAACATTAAGTTTACCATTCAACTATAGCATCTCTCTATAGGTCCAACATGATGGGGGGGGGGGGGCAGAAACACTCAGATGTCATGTCTGAAATCAAGAGTGTTGAAACAGGTTGAAAAGAAACTGGCTGTTTCCATCATTTTGTACAGCAGGTGTAATTTTTTCCATTGTTGTTGTTGTTGTGTACCTTGAAGTCCTTTCCATTTCATGGCAAGCCTTAGATAAACATATCAGAGTTTTCTGGGGCTGATTTGTGTGACTTGCCCAATGTCACCCAATAGGCTTCCATGAATCGGATATAGTGTCTAGAGGAGCCATAACCCAATGTAATTTTTGTGTGTGTCTATGTGTCAGGAGCGACTTGAGAAATTTCAAGTTGCTTCTGGTGTGAATTGGTTGCCTGCAAGGACATTGCCCAGGGGATGCCTGGATGTTTTGATGTTTTACCATCCTTGTGGGAAGCTTCTCTCATGTCCCCATATGGGGAACCAGAGCTGCCAGAGGGAGCTCATTCGTGCTCTCCCCGGATTCGAACCTGCGACCTGTCGGTCTTCAGTCCTGCTGGCGCAAGAGTTTAAGCTGTTGTGCCACTGGGGGCTCCCACTGTATAAACCACTCCAGTTGAGAGGTTGTCCACTTTTTTTTCTAATGCTCATCTATATTTATTTGGAATTTTTTTACTCTGTCCTTTCCTCGACCGCCGAGGAGGGACTCAGGACGGCTACCAGCAGGCAACAATTCGATGCTGAAACAATAAAACAAATCATAAAATACAATCAAATCCCTAAAAAATAGATATCAATATGCATTAAAACACTTCACCAGGTTAAAATGTCATTGAAATCCATCCAAATTGCGGTCCAGTAACATCTCATCATTACCAGTAAAATTAATCTAATCTGCAAACGCTTGCTCCCGTAGCCAGGATTTAGGTTGTCGGTTATTCGACTTCAGAGCAACTGCTAGGAGGCACAAAACAAATGAAGCGTGCCGCCTTCGTTCAGCTCCGAAGCTTCGGAGCGGCACTTAAAGATTTATTGCTATTTCCTAAAAAACTACAGAAACTACAGGAATAGCCAAAGACACATCTTTCCTCTTTGGCGTAGACCGCTGGAAGAAGCATGTGTTGTTATCTCCTCTCTGGAATGTGTGTCGAAACAGAATCTGTCCAAAGTTACGGTCTAGGCATAAATAATTGCTTTGTGCATTTAACTCTTGCACAGCATTATATACCGAACACAGAGTTTAAACTATAAGCAATATTTCATCACAGTTAAACAACATTGCTGAAATAAGTTTCTTCCGGAAGGTCAAGAGGGAGGGGGCAGATTTAACCTCCTTCGGGAGGGAGTTAGCAATAATACATTTAATTAAGCGCTTAATAATGTGGTAAAGATGACTGGAATGGAACGAGGAATACGAGATTGGTTACGATTGGTTACGATTTTATTATGAGACGAAGCGGATTAGTTAGTGTAAATTTTAATTGTTGTATTGCTGTTTTTTGCTGATATGTTGTTTGTAACTGTCTTTTGTAAATTTGCCTTTTTGTAGTGTACACCGCCGTGAGTCGCCCGCAAGGGCTGAGAAGGGCGGTTAATAAATGCATAAAATAAATAAAATAAATAAATAAATACAACAACAAAAATCCCCAAGATAATTAGCTCTTTAGGCTGCAGATTTTCCCTCAGATTTGTCACAAAATATGTGGAGCATCCTGTTTCTGGGTGAACAAAAACTGCTTGTTTGTAATTTGGTTTATTATTAGAAATACCTTTTTCCAAAAATCAGAAATAGATGCTCTCTTTTTCACAGTTAGTCTGATCAATTGGTAACTATAGAATGTGTCCTGCATATTCATATGTGTGGTTTCACCCACCCAGGCCTTAGGGAAAGTGGTATCTTCTACATGATTTTTTGGTTTGCTACCCCTGGAAGTTAGCATTTGGTCTTGCTGAAGACGGTACATCCAGGTCTAATAGTTGGAAGCTACAAGATGTAGATTTTGAGATAGCCATAGAAGGAAACTCTTGAAATGAGAGAAGTTCAGCAATGGGATCGATTGCCTAAATAGCTGGTGAGCACTTTAATGATACCTATTAAGTTTTGTTTGTTAAATATCTGTTCTCATTGTCTTTGTTGTCAAGCAACTCACACAGAAGGAGAACCATCTCAATACCAGGTCTGTGGAGAGAATTGGGAGCTGTGTGTCTCTCGTCAGCAAGCAATGTCCACTAAGACGAAGGCCTTCATGTGCTTGGAGTGCGGAAAATGTTTCCGTCACAAGCAAAGCATTGCTTATCATCAAGCAACGCACACCAGAAAGAAAGAGTTCAAATGCTTGGAGTGTGGAAAGTCTTTTATTCGGAAACGACATCTCACTTCTCATCAAAAAATTCACTTGGGGGAGAAACCCTTTAAATGCTTGGAGTGTGGAAAGACTTTCAAACATAAGAAAAGCCTCGCCTATCATCAACCAATCCATTCTGGGGAAAAGCCATTTAAATGCTTGGAGTGTGGAAAGAGTTTCACTCATAAGAATCGCCTCACCTATCATCAAGCAACCCATTCTGGAGAGAAGCCATTCAAATGCTTGGAGTGTGGGAAAGGCTTCATTCAGAAGACAAAACTCACTTCTCATCAAACAATTCACTCGGGGGAGAAACCCTTTAAATGTTTGGAGTGTGGAAAGAGTTTCACTGATAAGAGAGGCCTCACCTATCATCAAGCAACCCATTCTGGAGAGAAGCCATTCAAATGCTTGGAGTGTGGGAAAGGCTTCATTCAGAAGACAAAACTCATTTCTCATCAAACAATTCACTCGGGGGAGAAACCCTTTAAATGCTTGGAGTGTGGAAAGAGTTTCACTCGTAAGTTAAGCCTCACCTATCATCAAGCAACCCATTCTGGGGAGAAGCCATTCAAATGCTTGGAGTGTGGGAGAGGCTTCATTCAGAAGATAAGCCTCACCAATCATCAAGCTACTCATACTGGGGAGAAGCCATTTAAATGCAGGGAGTGTGGAAAGGGCTTCTGTCAGAAGAGTCACCTGACTTATCATCAAGTAATCCATACTTCCGGGAATCGTTTTAAATGCTTGGAGTGTGGGAAGGGCTTTGCTCACAAGATAAGCCTCACCAATCATCAAACTACTCATACTGGGGAGAAGCCATTTAAATGCTTGGAGTGTGGGAAGGGCTTCTTTCAGAAGTTAAAGCTCACCTATCATCATGCTACTCATACTGGGGAGAAGCCATTTAAATGTTTGGAGTGTGGGAAATCTTTTACTCAGAAGGTACATCTCATTTCTCATCAAACAGTTCACTTGAAGGAGAAGCCATTTAAATGCTTGGAGTGTGGAAAGGGCTTTATTCAGAAGAAACAACTGACTTATCATCAAGCAATTCATACTGGTGAGAAATCTTTTAAATGCTTGGAGTGTGGGAAGAGTTTCACTCGGAAGATACACCTGACTAATCATCAAGCTATTCATACTGGGGAGAAGCCATTTAAATGCTTGGAGTGTGGGAAGGGCTTCGCACAAAAGGCAACGTTCACAGAACACCAAAGAATCCACACTGGGGAAAAACCCTTTAAATGCTTGGAGTGTGAAAGCTCCTTTACAAGAAAAAGAAGTCTAATTGCTCATCAAGCAACACACTCTGGGGAGAAGCCATTCAAATGCTTGGTTTGCGGGAAGGGCTTCGTACGGAAGGCAGATCTCACACAACATCAAGGAGCCCACATAGAGGGGAAACCCTTTCAGTGCTTGGAGTGTGGAAGAAGTTTCAAACAGAAGAGTAGCCTACAGTGTCATCAAGTGAAACACATAGGGGAGAGAACCCTTTAAGTGTCTGGAATGCGGAAAGAGCTTTTGTCAGTAGACCAGGAAAGGCCCTCTGACTTTAAACACCACACAGCTGAGTAGAAATGCAATCAGGTAATTGAAGATAATTAAAAAGGAGTAATAGTAAAATGCACTTTAAAGTAATAGGTAAATCCAATTAGCTAGGAAGATAAGCCGGAACAAATAGTCTAAGAAATTAGTCTATCAAAGTTCATGAAAAACAAAGGCAGAAACTTCTATAGCAGGGGTCCTCAAACTAAGGCCCGGGGGCCGGATGCGGCCCTCCAAGGTCTTTTACCCGGCCCTCGCTCAGGGTCAACCTAAGTCTGAAATGACTTGAAAGCACACAACAACAACAGCAATCCTACTCATCAGCCAAAAGCAGTCCCACACTTCCCACTGAAATGCTAGTAAGTTTATATTTGTTAAAATTGTTTTTAATTTTAATGATTGTATTTTTTAAGTGGTTTTGCACCACAAATAAGATATGTGCAGTGTGCATAGGAATTCTTTTTTTTTCAAATTATAATCCGGCCCTCCAACAGTTTGAGGAACTATGACCTGGCCCTCTGTTTAAAAAGTTTGAGGACCCCTGTTCTATAGTATAATCCAAAAACTGGAAACATGAATGCAAGGCACTTAACCCATGATCATAAAATCCAAGAATTGAAAACATGAATCAAAGGCACTTAAAAGGCTTCGAAGAAACAGGAACGAGGTCTTGACTTGATTCCAAATGATGCTTCATCTGACTACAGTTCCTGTACTTGGGACTTTTATCTCCTCATTACGATATGTCCCAAGCGGACGGAAATGGGTTTTGTTTTAGCCTTGAATCCCTTATCATTCTTTCTTTGAGCCTTGCAGAACGCCTGAGACACTGATCTGCTTTCCTATTCTGACTAACAACATCCTGTCTATTTGCTCATTGATTTCTGCAGCTGGCCCAAGTGCCAAGCTGTTCTCAAGCTCCAAATCATGGGAATTCTCTGGTAGCAATTCAGGGAGCACACCATCATCCCCACACCCTTCAGGAACATTCTCATGAGAAAATACACTTTGAACAGGGATCTCCTGGTCATTCTCTGCATCAATATCGTTGGAAACACCATTACCTTCATGAACCTCATTGTCATAATTCCCCACATCTAAAGTACCCTGATCCTTAAACACAATCACAGGCTGAGCTCCACCAGAAATACCTCCCTCCTTTTCCTTCATCCAAACCATGAGGAAACTGAACTTCTGCAATAGAGAGAGAGATGACTTTAAAATAGCATTTCTTTGTTGTTATTTTTTCCAGGAATGACTGGAATTTTAAAAAAAGCTTTTGTTTTCAACACACAGTGTTCTTTTAATGAAATATCAAAACAAGTGTTGCTGAAAATAAGAGAGAAGACAAAAAGAGGTTTCAGGTTGGACAAGGTTCATGGCCAGGAATATGGAGTATATGTTAGGACTCCACTTTTTCCCTCCACAAAGGAGACTCAAAGCAGCTGTTCTCTTTGCTCTTCTTTGATGAGCATGGAAGGATGTCTGCTGTGGGTTAGATGGATAGCTAGGCCCTGTTCACTTTCCTATCTAGTGATGTCCTTTGAGTAAAGTCTTGTATAACTTGTTAAGCCTGACTCTGTTCCTGAATCGCTTAAGCTCAGTCGCGCTATTGCTGGCAACAGAAGCTTCTCGTTTGCTGAACTGCTGCTGCTACAGCTGTTGCTACTGATTTACCTTATTAAATGTTTTCTCTCCAACACTCTAAAGTGGGTGAAATATATATCTCAAGCAACTTATATATTTAGGTTTTAATAAAAACATTTTCAGTTGGTTTTTCTTTTTTGGTGGAAGAATATGATGCAGAAATAACTAATTTAGCTTCAATGAGATATAATGAAAATATATTTGATTGGTTTTAATTATGAAGCTTTTAATATTGTTTCCATTTAATTCTGTTTCAGTATTTGTATATATGTATATTTTAAATGGTGTGCTAACATTATTTTTGTTAAGCTGCCTTTGAGTCCCCTTCAGGGGAGATAATTTTAATAACAATAATAATGCAGTGCCTAAAGACTTTGGCCTGCACTTAAACACAATCGGCATGGACAAAATTACCATATGTCAGCTGCAAAAGGCCACCCTACTGGGATCTGCATACATTATTCGCCGATACATCACACAGTCCTAGACACTTGGGAAGTGTCCGACGTGTGAGCCAATGCAACAACCAGCATAGTGATCTTGTTTGCTGAGTACTAATCTTGTTGTGTTTCAAATAATAATAAATGAATGAATAAGTAAATAATAATAGAGTTAAATAATAAATCCTCCATTCCATTTCTCTCTCTCCCCCCCCCCCCCCCCCCAATCTGTCTTTATAGACCACACCCACCCTATTCTAACACAAACAGTATACATGCCAAGAGAGGATCTTTGCATTCCTGGGCATAAAATAATCATTTATCTTGAGTTGTTTTTTGGGCAGAGGGGAGCAGCCGTCGTCAATCTCTCACCTTCTCCTACTAGCAGTCATTTCTTGTTCCAGTGTCTACTGACAGTTTCATCTGGGTCTCGGTCTCCCCCACACAATTCTATTCCACAACAAGGTAATGGCCAATAGCCACAAGTAGAACTTAACAAAATCTTTAAAATCTAGTACTTAGCTTAAAAGATTGGGGGAGGGCGTTCGTGGCCGTCTAGTCAGCCTGTCTCACTATTACCAAAGTAAATAAAACAACAGCAGGGCTCTGTGCCTCAACCTAGACAAAGGTGAAGAAATTGGTCATCAGTCTGGATATCGTGAATCCCTACGAGGCACAGCTTAGGGAGCTGGGTATGGTCAGCCTGGAGAAGAACAGGTTAAGCGGAGAATATATTGAAAGGATGTCATATTGGTATCCATAATGCTATACTCTTCCCATGGTGAGAACCTATTTTTTAAATGCCTGATGAGTTAGGTACAGTTTTGTCAATATCCACCGAAAAAGCAGGGGTGAAGGGGAATAAATTCCTCGAAAATGATGAACAAGTTTTCTGAAGCCGTCACAGGAGAAGTCGACACTCTTGTTTCCGCAACCAGAGTCTCACAGTTCTCTCAACGTACCCATTGTGCACAGATCTTCTGATAGCCAAGCAAAGCAATGATGTAACCCACACATTCTTGTGAAATACCGATTATGCTTGAAATTCCTCTCTGATTTTTTTATTATTTATTTAATACAGCCTACCATGCTTTAACTTTTGGCATCTAGTGTTATTTTTCTGCTATTTATTTATTTATTTATTTATTTATTGTGTCAGGGCAACCAGACAATTGTATTACATTTTTAACAAAACAAACAAACAAACAGACAAAACACAAATTTTGCAAGCTTGGTAGTTGATTAAATGTCCTTTGACCAGTATCTGGCCACTTGGAGTGCCTCTGGTGTTGCCGCAAGAAGGTCCTCCATTGTTCATGTGGCAGGGCTCAGGTTGCATTGCAGCAGGTGGTCAGTGGTTTGCTCTTCTCCACACTCGCATGTCGTGGATTCCACTTTGTGGCCCCATTTCTTAAGGTTGGCTCTGCATCTCGTGGTGCCAGTGCACAGTCTGTTCAGCGCCTTCCAAGTCGCCCAGTCCTCTGTGTGCCCAGGGGGGAGTCTCTCATTTGGTATCAGCCATTGGTTGAGGTTCTGGGTTTGAGCCTGCCACTTTTGGACTCTCGCTTGCTGGGGTGTTCCAGCGAGTGTCTCTGTAGCTCTTAGATCTTTTCTGCTTATACATATTATCTATCCCTCACCGCTGTGCTCCCCCCCCCCCCCCAAGCCACAGCTTTTACATATCATCTGTCCAAAATTTCAATTCTTCTTGTGGAGGTAACTTTCCTTCTTTATTTTTTAATCCCTTTTCAATAAATTTTCTCCATACATCATCAAAATCACTTTGTTTCCATATACCTCTTTTAACTTTTAATATACATGTCAGCTTATCATTTATTGCCAATTTCCATACTTCCTTGTACCACTCCTCTATTTGTATATTTATTTCTCTTTTCCAGTTCCTTGCTATAAGCAGTCTTGCTATTGTTAATACATTTGTTATCACATCTTTATCCTCTTTTTTCAATTGTTTATTATTATATAATGATAATAAAGCTATACTAGGACTTCTTTCTATTTTAATGTTCATTATATCTTCTATTTCTCTAAATACTTTCTCCCAAAAATTATTTACATATTTACATTAATCTTACTCGCCCAATGATGCACAATACTCACATCAACACAATCACCATAAACAGCTTCCATTCTCCTTGGGTGACACCTTTTGTTGTCAATAATTCAATGACTGCACGCTGTTTAAATCACATTGACCAACCGTCTGCGCAGGGTTCCATACTTCGCACTTTAACAACACAACCTTTCAATGCTAAGCCTTCCTGCCAAAATAGAACTGTAGAGGAGAGTCTACTGAACAAGCATACCAGTACTGCCCACTGATGAGTTATGAAGGTGGAGGCATTACTTTTCATTCAACCCTCGTAGTTGCAATGTGGCCATATCACGATTACACAGGGCTAAGTAGAAAAGACAGTAAGTCTTAGTAAGAGAGAAGGCATCAAGAAAAGAGACAGAGTGAATCGCAGGGGAATAGACTCCAGCACGGGAGCCCTGGCTGTTCTGAATCTCCAAGACCTGTGTAGATCTGGCTGAGAGGTCCCTCGTTCACAGAATCACCAGCAGTCAAAGCTGGCCTGAAGGCACTTGCCAACAGCAACAACGCCTCCAGCCTTGATCAGGTCTTGCCTTTCATGATTGAATCACAGAATCATAAAATAATAGAATCCTAGAGGTGGAAGAGCCCACAAGGACCCTCCAGTCCCAACTCCCTGCCAGGCAGGAATACACATTCAAAGCACTCCAAATGGATGGCCATCAAACCTGTTTATAAACCTCCAGAGAAAGAGACTCCACCGCAATCTCAGGTCGCAGCATACTCCATTCTTGAACAGCTGTTACCATTAGGAAGATGGTACCAACAGAAATGGAGACCATGGCCAATAAAATACCCCTGCCTTTTGTATTCCTACAGGAGGTGAATCAGAACCAACACATACTGGCTTGCTTCTTTTTGATGTACGCAGCACACCTTCTGTGACACCAGATCAGGTAGGTGAGAGAATCCCTGATGGGCTAAGAAGGGCTCAGGCTTCCAGAATCCTTTTTGCATTGTCATTTCCCCCTCTTTCCACCCAAGATGCCTGCAGCAAAGTCCCTGTGTCAAGATTGACATTTAACTCAGCCACCAGAAGCAACTGGTCTCTGACTGGGGTCAGCGTGTCCTGCTTACCAATCATGTTTCTCTGTCCAGGTGACCTTCCAAGAGGTGGCCGTGTCTTTCAGTGAGGAGGAGTGGGCCCTGCTGAATCCGGACCAAAGGGCCTTGCATCAGGAGGTCATGGAGGAAAATCTGGAGATGGTGTCCTCTTTAAGTAAGGCTTCCTCTTATGTAAGGAAATATTAGTCACAACATGACACAGCTGCATGATGCCACTTAAAAGGAAGGGGGCAAAGGACACACCAGGTTTGGCATAAGTTCACAGCAGGATACAATAACATTAAGTTTACCATTCAACTATAGCATCTCTCTATAGGTCTGACATGATGTGGAGGGAGGCAGAAACACCCAGGTGTCATGTCTGAAATCAACAGTGTTGAAACAGGTTGAAAAGAAACTGGTTGTTTCCATCATTTTGTACAACAGATGCCATTTTTTATTGTTTTTGTTGTTGTGTACCTTATAGAATCAAAGAGTTGGAAGAGACCTCATGGGCCATCCAGTCCAACCCCATTCTGCCAAGAAGCAGGAATATTGCATTCAAATCACCCCTGACAGATGGCCATCCAGCTCTGTTTAAAAGCTTCCAAAGAAGGAGCCTCCACCACACTCCGGGGCAGAGAGTTCCACTGCTGAACGGCTCTCACAGTCAGGAAGTTCTTCCTCATGTTCAGATGGAATCTCCACTCTTGTAGTTTGAAGCCATTGTTCCGCGTCCTAGTCTCTTGAAGTCCTTTCCATTTTATGGCAAGCCTTAGATAAACCTATCACAGAGGTTTTTTTGGGCCTTTTTTTTTTTTTTGTCGTGTCAGGAGCAACTTGAGAAACTGCAAGTCGCTTCTGGTGTGAGAAGCTGATATTGATTTTTTGGGCTGATATTGTGTGACTCGCTCAAGGTCACCCAGTAGGTTTCCATGGCTGAGCAGGGAATCGGAAATAGTGTCAAGAGGAGCCATAGCCCAATGTATTTTTTTTCTGTGTCAGGAGCGACTTAAGAAACTGCAAGTCACTTCTGGTGTGAAAGAATTAGCCACCTGAATGGATGTTGCCCAGATAATGTTTTGATGTTTTACCATCCTTGTGGGAGGCTTCTCTTATGTCCCCCCCATTGGGAGCCAGAGCTGCCAGAGGGAGCTCATCCACGCTCTCCCCCCAGATTCGAACCTGCAACCTGCCGGTTTTCAGTCCTGTCGGAACAAGGGTTTAACCCATTGTGCCACCAGGGACTCTCAAATGTATAAAACACTCCAATTGAGAGGTCGTCCACTTTTTTTCCTAATGCTCATCTATTAGCAATAAAACAACACCCCACCCTCCCCAAATAATTAGCTCTTTAGGCTGCAGTCCCTCAGATTTGTCACAAAATATGTGGAGCATCCTGTTTCTGGGTGAACAAGAACTGCTTGTTTGTAATTTGGTTTATTATTAGAAATACCTTTTTCCAAAAATACAGAAATTTGCACTCTCTTTTTTCACAGTCTTATCAATTAGAATTATAGAATGTGCCCTGTATATTTATATGTGTGGTTTCACCCACCCAGGCCTTGGGGAAAGTGGTATCTCCTACATGATTTTTTGGTTTGCTACCCCTGGAAGTTAGCATTTAGTCTTGCTGGAGAGGGTACAGCCAGGTCTCATCGCTGAAAGCTACAAGAAAGTAGATTTTGAGATAGCCATAGAAGGAAACTCTTGAAGTGAGAGAAGTTCACCAATGGGATTGGTTGCCTAAATTGTTGGTGAGCACTTTAAAGTTACCTATTATTAACATTTTGTTTTTTAAATATATGTTCTCATTGTCTTTGTTATCAAGCAACTCACAGAGAAGGGGAATCATCTCAATTCAGGGACTGTGGAGAGAATCAGGAGCTGTGCCTCTCTGATCAGCAAACAACGTCCACTAAAAGGAAGCCCTTCAAGTGCTTGGAATGCAGAAAATGTTTCTGTCAGAAGAAAAGCATGGCTTATCATCAAGCAACGCACACCAGAGAGAAAGAGTTCAAATGCTTGGAGTGTGGAAAGTCTTTTATTCAGAAGGGACATCTGACTTCTCATCAAACAATTCATTCAGGGGAGAAACCCTTTAAATGCTTGGAGTGCGGAAAGTCTTTTATTCGGAAGGAAAATCTTGCTTCTCATCAAACAATTCACTCAGGGGAGAAACCCTTTAAATGTTTGGAGTGTGGAAAGAGTTTCGCTCATAAGAGTATCCTCGCCCGTCATGAAGCAATCCATTCTGGGAATAAGCCATTTAAATGCTTGGAGTGTGGAAAGGGCTTTTTTCAGAACAGTAATCTGACTTACCATCAAGGAAGTCATACTGGCGAGAAGCCATTTAAATGCTTGGAGTGTGGAAAGAGTTTTCCTTACAAAAGAAGCCTCAACTATCATCAAGCTACTCATACTGGGGAGAAGCCATTTAAATGCTTGGAGTGTGGGAAGTCTTTTATTCTGAAGGCCCATCTCACTTCTCATCAAACAGTTCACTTGAGCGAGAAGCCATTTAAATGCTTGGAGTGTGGAAAGGGTTTCACTCAGAAGACAAACCTCACCTATCATCAAGCTACTCATTCTGGAGAGAAGCCATTTAAATGCTTGGAGTGTGGAAAGGGCTTCATTCGGAAGATGTATCTGACTATTCATCAAGCAACTCATGCTGGGGAGAAGCCATTTAAATGCTTGGAGTGTGGGAAGGGCTTCGCACAGAAGGCAAGGCTCACAGAACACCAAAGAACCCACACTGGGGAAAAGCCCTTTAAATGCTTGGAGTGTGAAAGCTCCTTTACAGGAAAAAGAGGTCTAATTGTTCATCAAGCAACACACTCTGGGGAGAAGCCATTCAAATGCTTGGAGTGTGAGAAGGGATTTGTACGGAAGGCAGACCTCACACAACATCAAGGAGCCCACATTGAGGGAAAACTCTTTCAGTGCTTGGAGTGTGGAAGAAGTTTCAAACAGAAGAGTAGTCTACGGCGTCATCAAGTGAAACATACGGGGGAAGGAAGCCTTTAAATGCCCGGAGTGCGGAAAGAGCCTCTGCCAATAGAAACACCTCTCTTCTTTTTCCTCATCTTAAACCAAGAGGAGACTGAACTTCTGTAATAGAGAGAGATGACTTTAAAATAGTTTTTCTTGGTTGTTGTTTTTTTCAGGAATGTCTGGAATTTTAAAAATCTTTCTTTTTGAACACACTGGCTTCTTTTGATGAAATATATATAAAAAAGTCCTGAAAATAAGAGAGAAGGACAAAAAGAGGTTTCAGGCTGGACGAGACTCATGTCCAGGAATATGAAGTATATGTTGGGACTCCACTTTTTATCTCCACTCAGGAGATTCAAAGCAGCTGTTGTCTTTGCTCTTCTTCGATGAGCATGGAAATATGTCTGCTGTGGGTTAGACGGATAGCTAGGCCCTGTTCACTTTCCTATCTAGTGATGTTCTTTGGGTAAAGTCTTCTATAACTTGTTAAACTTGACTCTGTTCCTGAATCGCTTAAGCTCAGTCGCTCTATTGCTGGCAACAGAAGCTTCTCATTTGCTGAACTGCTGCTACAGCTGTTGCTGCTGATTTACCTTATTAAATGCTTTCTCTCCAGCACTCTAAAGTGGGTGAAATATATATCTCAAGCAACTTATATATTTAGGTTTCTGCTGATTTACCTTTTAAAATGCTTTCTCTTTTTACAAAATTTCCCCAGCATAGCTTGAACGAGATATAATGCAAATATGTTTGAATGGGGTTTTAACCTTTTAATACTGTTTCCATTTAATTCTGTTTCAGTATTTGTATATATTTTTCAATGGTGTGCTAACACTTTTATGTTAAGCTGCTTTGAATCTCCTTCAGTGGAGATAAAGCAGGGTATCAATAATTTTAATAATTAAAAAAACTCTAAAATTACAACACCAAAACAGCAGAGAGGAAACAACCAGGCACATCTTAACACCTCTCAACAAAAGATTCCCCCAGGCTCAGCCAGGCCTTCAAATGCTAATGAAGACGGTCAGTTGAAACATTCACACCTAGCTCCAGCAGAAAAGAGCTCTTTGCCCTTTGCCCTACCCCAGTCATTCCACAGATATATAATAAACCCATTGTCCAAATCCAACAGACCTCACTACCTCTGAGGATGCTTGCCATAGATGCAGGCGAAACGTCAGGAGAAAAATGCCTCTAGAACATGGCCATATAGCCCGAAAAAACCCACAAGAACCTAGTGATTCCAGCCATGAAAGCCTTCAACAATTTTAATAATAATAATAATAATAATAATAATAATAATAATGCAGTGCCTTAAGACTTTGGCCTGCACTTAAACACAATCGGCGCTGACAAAATTACCATCTGCCAGCTGTAAAAAGCCACCCTACTAGGATCTGAATGCATTATTTGCCAATACATCACACAGTCCTAGACACATAACTTCTTAATGCCTTCTTTACCTCGGTCTTCTCACAAAAAGGAAGTCATCTTCAATCTCAGCAAGATGGACTGGATGGGGGATTAGAGGACATCCAAAACAAGTCATCCAGGAACACCTGGCCACTCTAAACGAGTTCAAGTCCCCAGGGCCATATCATCAAGTTTGCATGACACCAAATTGGGAGGGATAGCCAATACTCCAGAAGACAGGAGCAGAATTCAAAGTGATCCTAACAGATTAGATAGATGGGCCAAAGCTAACCAAATGAAGTTTAACAGGGACAAATGCAAGATACTCAACTTAAGCAGAAAAAATGAAATGCAAAGATACAGAATGGGGGACGCGTGGCTCAAGTGTGAAAAAGATCTTGGAGTCCTCGTGGACAACAAGTTAAACATAAGTCAGCAATGTGATGCAACAGCTAAAAAAGCCAATGAGATTTTGGCCTGCATAAATAGGAGTCTAGTGTCTAGATCCAGGGAAGTCATGCTACCCATGCTCTATTCTGCCTTGGTTAGACTACACCTGGAATATTGTGTCCAATTCTGGGCATCACAATTGAAGAGAGATATTGACAAGCTGGAATGTGTCCAGAGGAGGGCGACTAAAATGATCAAGGGTCTGGAGAACAAGCCCTATGAGGAGCAGCTTAAAGAGCTGGGCATGTTTAGCCTGAAGAAGAGAAGGCTGAGAGAAGACATGATAGCCATGTATAAATATGTGAGAGGAAGTCA